CCATTTTTAGATTTCTAGATTTTTCAATTTTTCAATTTCTCGACTTTCGATTTCCCGATCTTTTAATGCTTCGATTTTCAAATGTTAGATTTTCTTTTTTTCCAATTTTTTGATTTTTTGATTTTTCAATCTTCGGTTTTCTTAATTTTTTTTACATTTCAGTTTTGAGATATTTCATTTCTCGATTTTTCAGTTTTTCTATTCTTCAATTATTCGACTTTTTTAGGGTTTTTCGATTTTTCGATTTTACGAATTTTTCGCTGTTTAAGTTTTTGACACTTCAATTTTGAAAATGTTTCATTTCCGGATTTTTCAACATTTTCGACATTTTAATTTTAGGTTGTGTGTCGATTTCTTGGTCTTCCGATATTTCGATTTCTTGATTTTTCGGTTTCTGGATTTTTGGACCTTTCGGCTTTTGAATTTTCAATTTTTCGATTTTCGGTTTTTTGGTATCGGAATTTTCAATTTGTTTCCTTTTCTATTTCTCAATCTTTCAGTTTTTACATGCTTCAGTTTTAGATTTTTTAATTTTTTCCCTGTTCGATATTTCGATATTCAAATTTTCAATTTATTTATTTTTCGATTTTCAATTTTTCCATTCTTCGATTTTTCGATTTCCCAATTATTTTTCTTTCCGATTTTTTGGTTTCTCGGGTTCTCAATTTTTCAATATTCGATTTTTTGACTTTCCGAAAGATTTTATTGTTTCGAATTTTCCATATTCCAATTCTTCGATTTTTTCATTTTTCAATTTTTCGATCTTACGGTTGCAAATTTTTCGAATTTTGAATATTTGAATTTTTTTGGCATTTCTAACTATTCAATTTTTGGACTTTTTGATTTTTCGATTTCTCTATTACTCGAATTTTTTGACTTCCTGACTTTTCGACTATTACATTTTTTGGTTTTTCGAAATTTTAATTTTCCCATTTATCGAGGTTCCGACTTTTCGATGGTTCGATTTTTCGACATCTCCATTTCTCGGTTTTCGATTTTCAAATTTTCAATTCTTTTCTTCCGATTTTTTGGTTTCTCGGGTTCTCGATTTTTCAATTATTCGATTGTTTTATTTATTTTTTTTCAATTTAAATTTTTCATTTATTCAAATTTTAATTCTTCGATTTTTCGATTTTGGGCTAATTCAATTTCTCCATTTTTAGATTTCCCGACTTCTGGGTTTTTCAATGGTTAAAATTTTTCGTTTTCTCGATTTATTTAAGTTTTCCTACCCTTTTGGAAATTTTTTCATTTCTGGATTTTCCAATATTTTCGATATTCAATTTTAGGCTGTAGGTTTTTCGATTTCTTGGTCTTCTGATATTTCGATTTCTGGATTTCTCGGCTTGTCGATTTTTGGACTTTTCGGCTTTTTAGTTTTCGAAATTTCGAACTTTCGATTTTTCGATTTTCGAATTTTCTAAATTCAATTTTTCGATTCTAAAGTTCACAATTTTTGAACTTTGGATATTTCGATTTTTCGAAAATTCAGTTTTCAAATTTTAAATTTTTCTATTTTTCGATTTCCCATTTTTCCATATTCAAATTTTCAATTTTTTTATTTTTCGATTTTCAATTATTCCATTCTTCGATTTTTCGATTTCCCAGTTATTTTTCTCTCCGATTTTTTGGTTTCTGGGGTTCTCGATTTTTCAATGTTCGATTTTTTGACTTTCCGAAAGATTTTATTATTGTTTCGAATTTTTCATATTCCAATTCTTCGATTTTTTCATTTTTCAATTTTTCGATCTTACAGTTTTCAAATTTTTCGATTTTTCAATATTTGAAACTTTTTGGCATTTCTAACGCTTCAATTTTTAAATTTTCAGATTTCTTCGACTTCTCGATGTTTTGATGCTTCGATTTCCAAATGGTGCATGTTTCGATTTTTTGATGTCTCAGTTTTTCGATTTTCCGATTTTCCAAAATTTTGATGTTTCGATTTTTCAATTTTTTGATTTTTTAAATTTAAATTTTTCGATTTCCCGGTTTCTCTTTTTTTAGTCTTTCAGTTTTTCGATTTTTAAATTTTTCGCTTTTTTAAATATTTTTTCGATTTTTCAATTTTACCAATTTTTTTACTGTTTGATATTTCAATTTTTCGATTTATCTTTTCACGGCTTCTTGATTTTTCAATATTTTCGACGTTTTAATTTTAGGGTGTCGGTTTGTCGATTTCTTGGACTTCTCATATTTCGATTTCTCGATTTCTCAGTTTTTCGACTTTTCGGCTTTTCAATTTTCGAAATTCGAATTTTCGATTTTTCAGTATTCGAATTTTCTAAATTCAATTTTTCGATTTTAGAGTTTTCGATTTTTCAACTTTGGATATTTCGATTTTTTGAAAATTCAGTTTTCAAATTGTTCATTTTTCCATTTTTCGATTTTTTGGTATTGGAATTTTCAATCTGTTTCCCTTTCGATTTCTCGATTTTTTCAATTTTTCCATTCTTCACTTTTTAGGTTCTTAAATTTTTTCCATTTTCGATTTTTTTATTTTTCGATTTCCAATTTTTCCATTCTTCGATTTTTCGATCTCCTAAGATTTTTTGGTTTCTCAAGTTCTCGATTTTTCAATTTTTCCGATTTTTCGATATTCCAATTTTTGGATTTTTTTCATTTTTCAATTTTTATATTTTTCGATCTTTCGGTTTTAAAATTTTTCGATTTTTCACTAGTACTTCTAACTATTCGATTTTTGGATTTTTTGTTTTTTCGACTTCTCTTTTCCTCGATTTTTCTACTTTTTGACTTTTCGACTGTTACATTTTTTCAATTTTTCGATTTCTCGACTTTCGATTTCCCGATCTTTTAATGCTTCGATTTTTAAATGTTAGATTTTCCTTTTTTCCAATTTTTTGATGTTTCGATTTTTCAATCTTCCGATTTCCCAATTTTTCTACATTTCAGTTTTGGGATATTTCCGATTTTCCGATTTCTCTTTTTTTGGTTTTCCAGTTTTTCGATTTTTCATTTTTTTTTAATCTTATTTTTTCGATTTTTCGATTTTACGAATTTTTTGCTGTTTGATATTTTAATTTTTAAATTTCTCGGTTTTTCAATGTTCAAAATTTCTCGTTTTTTATTACTTCAATTTTGAAAATTTTTCCATTTCTGGATTTTTCAACATTTTCGTCATTTTACATTTAGGTTGGTCTGTTTGTCGATTTCTTGGTTTTCTGATATTTAGATTTCTTGATTTTTTTCGATTTTTCGATTTTTCGATTTTCGGTTTTTTGGTATTGGAATTTTCAATTTGTTTCTCTTTCTATCTCTCAGTTTTTCCATTCTTTAGTTTTAGATTTTTTAATTTTACCCTTTTCGATATTCAAATTTTCAATTTTTATTTTTCGATTTTCAATTTTTCCATTCTTCGATTTTTCGATTTCCCAATTATTTTTCTTTCCGATTTTTTTGTTTATCGGGTTCTAGATTTTTCAATTTTCAATGTTTTGACCTTCTGGAAGATTTTATTATTGTTTCGCATTTTCCATATTCCAATTCTTCGATTTTTTCATTTTTCAATTTTTCGATCTTACGGTTTTCAAATTTTTCGATTTTTCAGTATTTGAATAAATTTGGCATTTCTAACTATTCAATTTTTGGATTTTTTGATTTTTTGATTTTTCTATTACTCGAAATTTTTTACTTCCTGACTTTTCGACTATTACATTTTTTGATTTTTCAATATTTTAATTTTTCCATTTCTCGAGTTCCCGATTTTTCGACGTTTTGGTTTTTAGACTTCTCGATTCCTCGGTTTTCAGATTTTCAGTTCTTCAATTTTTCTTCGTTATTTAACTTTTCGATATTTTATTATTATTTTTTTTATTTAAGTTTTTCATTTTTTCGATTTTAGGCTATTTCGATTTTTCCATTTTTAGATTTCAATTATTCGACTTCCAGATTTTCGATTTCTCGATCTTTTGATGCTTCGATTTTTTGAGTTCTCGGTTTTTGGATTTTCCGATTTTCCAATTTTTTGATGTTTCAATTTTTCAATCTTTCGATTTCCCAATTTTTCTACATTTCAGTTTTGGGATATTCCAATTTCTTGATTTTTCTCCCAACTTCTGGGTTATTCAAAATTTAAAATTTTTGGATTTCCAGATTTTTTAAGTTTTTCAACACTTCAATTTCGGAAATATTTTTATTTCTGGACTTTTAAATATTTTCTATATTTTCATTTTAGGTTTTCGGTTTGTCGATTTCTTGGTCTTCTGATGTTTCAATTTCTTGATTTCTCGGTTTTTCGATTTTTCGGCATTCCAGTTTTCGAAATTTCGAATTTTCGATTTTGCGATTTTAGAGTTTACGATTTTTTCATATTTCGGCTTTGGATATTTCGTTTTTTCTATATTTCGGTTTTTGGATTGTTCGATTTTTCGAAATTTCAATTTTCAAATTTTTTAATTTTCGATTTTGGGCTATTTCGATTTCTCGGTTTTTTTTGGTATTTCAATTTTTCGATTTTTCAATTTTACGAATTTCTTACTGTTTCAATTTTTCGATTTATCCATTTCCCGACTTCTCGATTTTCAATGTTTAAAATTTTCGGATTTCTCGATTTTTAAAGCTTTTCAACACTTCAATTTCGGAAATATTTTCATTTCTGGATTTTTCAATATTTTCAGTATTTTAATTTTAGGTTTTCGGTTTGTTGATTTCTTGGTCTTTTGATGTTTCGATTTCTTGATTCCTCGGTTTTTCAATTTTTCGATTTTTCGGCTGTTCAATTTTCAAATTTTCGATATTCGAATTTTTAAAGTCGATTTTTCAGTTTTAGAGTTTTCGATTTTTCATCTTTGGATCATCGTTGTTTTTTATATTGCAATTCTTGAATTTTTTTTTTTTTTCGGACGAAACCGAGCTAAGTTTAACAGGAGAAAGAAACAATGTAAAACAAATTCAAGCAATTTATTGACAAAAAAATAATAGCATAAAAAAATTAAATTACGTTAGAATCTTAATTAGTTTCACTTAAAATTTTAAAGCATACGATTACAATAAATTAGTAAAAATGATACGTTTTTTGTCTGAAGCACACAAAACGTAAAATCTATTCACATTTTGAAAATCCATCAACACTTCAATTGGCAGAATACTGGAAGGACGCTTGGGGATTTTTAAAATGTGAACAGAACACTTAAATCCAGTCCCTAATAGTTGTCAACGAAAATTTAATTTTCTTTATTTATCACAGTACATACACAATCACTTGGTATATTCACCCGAACGTACTCAGGTTGTTGGGAGTCTTCATCTATCGACAACAATGTAATAGTACTCCACCTCTGTACACATTTGGCCTGCCGGTAAGTACCATAACCTGACAAACTCGTGCAGTGGTTCTTGTGTGACGATTTTCTATAATAATAAAAAAAAAACAGTACTTAAAGTAATTGTTAACGTAATAAATTTGTGGTACTACTCACCTGCATATTTTGACCTTTATAATCTGCTTATATTTATCTTGGTTAACAATAGGTTTAAGTTTATAATCGACGGTTAACACAGCGGAAGGAACGTACGTCACATCTTCAGCCCAACATAAACTTTCGTACTGGTCTGACGTACCTATACTTCTGAGGCCATCATCAGGACTTTTCTCGAGCGTTTCGTACACAGTTCCATTCGTAAAAAAAGAATGCAGAGCTGGATGAAGATCAACAATGCTCTTCAACTTTGTTTCTTGACTATCATCGAGTTGGGTTTTATTGCAGATGTTGTATCTGAAGGAGCAGTCGACGTCCACCAGGTCAATTTTTTGGGTTTCGACACTTTTGTACCTGCCACTGGATGACGCTAGCTGGAATGAAGACGAAACGTGTGAAAATGTGACTAAAGATAAGTGGAAGGAAGTGAATCCTTGTATCAAAATTGTGGTTTCTTTGTGTATATAACACTGGATGATTAATAATTTCCTCACCGTGGGTACTAACAGCTGCAGGATTAACGTCAAGAGTACCGTGGAATTCATGTCAACACTGGATTGAAGAGAAGAAACACCGAAAGAATATTATTACGCAATGTTGTAAAATTGATTGTAAGAGAGGAGTTTAAGCATCAATTTCGCATCAGGAACTGAACGTATTGGGAGAATTTTTAAAACGGGAGGCGAATCGGATGACGTGGTGCATCCGTAAATTTCCCGAGATGTTGGAAGGCGGTGTAAAATGTAAATCTACCGCTACACCACAAAACACGCGCCGAAAATCCAATCATGGTTAAAATTAATCATTCTGTAAGTGCACAACTACTAAAGAAAAAAAAATTGAAATTTTACCAGATTAAAATAATTTTCTCAGAAAAAAAATTTATTAGTACCCTGTGACGTTAAAAACTAGCAATTGTGTAAACGAACCCTGATTGGAAGGTAAAATCCCATTGGGGTCAAACAGATTTTTTTCTGGGTTTTCCAATTTGTAATTTGTTTAATTCTTAATATTTCCATGACGTACATCCACGAAAAGTGGGGGAAATTGGTACAAAATTGGTCTAAAGAATTTATATAGTACCACAGGTCGTGCGGAGTTCTGGGACTGCGTGGGAAAATTTGATGTGGTGGGGCTAGTAGAGACATGGGCGACAAAGGAAAAGAAAAAGGGGAGTAATGAAAAAACGGACTAATGAAGAAAGTAATACAGCTGGATAACAATCTATCGGAAAAAATAATCGTGTATAGCAAGAAAATGGAGGGAACCAAGATAAACATAGAAAATAAAACAAAAGAAAAAGGAGATGAAAAGATACTTATAGGAAGGGGGTTTAACGTAAAACTGGGCGATAAGGGGACAAGAATAATAGATAAAGAAAAGGGGGAGAAAAGAGGATCAAAAGACAAAGCAAATAACAAAGAAGGGAAAATATTGTGGAAGATAATAGAAGAAATGGGATGGGAAATTTTGATTGGAATCGAGGAAGGAGATGAAGAAGGAGAACGGACGTACGTAGAAGCTAGGGGAGAATCAATTATAGACAACGGAATTGTCAACGAAGAGGCGTGGGAAGAAATAGAGAGTTTCAAAGTGGGGGAAAGGGTAGAATCAGACCACATGCCACTAGAAATAAAAATCAAAGGAAAAGAGCAAGAGTACGAAAAACAAGACAGAAGAAACGAAAGAAAAAAAATAGGAACAAGAATATGGGATGAAGAGGGAATTCAAAGACAGAAGTAGACTAGAAAAAAGAAATTCTAAGTAAAAGAAGAAAGTACTTAAAAGAAAAAGAGAATTATAGGAGAAAATGTGGAGAAAGAAAAATAGAAAAACGAGAAGAAGAAAAGAAGACAATAAAGTCCCTGAAAACAGAAGAAGAAGTATGGAGATAATTATATAAACAAGGAACGGAGAAGGAAGACTGAAGTCAGTAGGAAAATCAAAATACATGAATGGAAAAGACACTTTTTGGAATTATTGGGAGGTTGTGAGGAAAAATGCTGCAAAATAAATAAAGGAACCACAACGGCGGAAGAAATGTGGAGAGGTTCGGAAATAACAGAAGATGAAATAGGATGACAGATTGAAAGACTGAAAAGAGAAAAAGCACCTGGAGGGGATGGATAAGGGATTTTCCAGAATTAAAATTAGAAAACAACAAAATATTCTGCAGAGCTTGTGTGAAAACCGTAAGCCCACTATTTTTTTTTTATCTATTTTCCTTTGTTAATCCTGTATATGTACGTTGTTTTAGATTCAAAGTGATAAAAAATATAACGTGACGCAACATGTCAGAACGACTCTTCATGTAGAAAGGAAGAAAATGTTTCAAGTTTCTAAAATTAAACAGCAGACCATACATGAATCTGTTGCATCTACTTCCACAAAAGATGAGCAGTTTCAGTTTAATTTCGATTTATGTAAAATGATGATCCAGTCCGATGTACCTTTAAAAAAATTGGAGAAAGGCCCTCTTCAAGAATTCCTTGAAAAACACTGCAATCGACATATTCCGGTTGAAAGTACTCTCAGAAAAAATTATGTAGGCCCAGTGTTTCAGCAAGTTTACAACAAAATTAAACATCGCATTGGAGATAATTATTTATGGTTCGCTGTCGATGAAACAACCGATAGTTGTGGAAGATACGTGGCAAGTTTAATTGTTGGAATCTTAAATGAAAATTTCCCTAGTCGAGGGTATGTAGTAAGTTTGAAAATGTTAGATAAAACAAATGGCAATACGATTACCAAATTTGTAAATGACAGTCTTACGTCACTATTTTTGCCAAATAAAATTTTATTGATAATCTCGGATGCAGCTCGTTATATGTTGAAAGCAGGGAATAATCTAAAAATATTGTACCAAAATTTAATTCACTCTACTTGCATTGTCCACGGTTTAAACAGAGTGGCTGAAGGAATACGTTTGCAGTTTCCTACTGTTAATAAATTAGTGGCAAATGGTAAAAAGATTTTTGTTAAAGCCCCACTAAGAGTGCAACATTTTAAGGAAAAATTTCCAAACATACCATTGCCCCCAGAGCCGATTATAACGAAGGAGGGAACATGGTTACAGGCCACATTTTATTATGACAAATATATCGAAGAATTTGAGGAAGTAGTTACGGAGTTTAACGAAGATTCTTCTCAATCGATTAAAGATTGCATAAATATTTTGGAAAACAAAGATTTGCGACAAGATCTAGCTTTTCTAAGAAGCAATTATCAATTCGTATGTGAGGTAATAGAAAAGTTAGGAAAACCCAACATGTTGTTGGTAGATGCCATAAACTTAGTGAAAGAATTTAAACAAGAAGGAAACGCAGTAAGGGGTGATATTGGTACTAGAATATCTCAAAAACTTGACGAAGTGTTAAATAAAAATGCAGGTTTCGGTGTTCTTTCCGACGTTGCTCGTGTTTTACAAGGCCAGAAGGTGGAAAATTTGGAGTTAGATTCAACATTCGTTGCAAAATTCAAATTTGCGCCAACAACGAGTGTGGATGTTGAACGCACATTCTCCAATTTTAAACACATTTTAAATGATCGGCGAAAAAATTTTACAGTGGAGAACTTGGAACATATTACAATCATAAATTGTTTTAAAGAAAACTGAAGTACGTGTGTAAAATATAAAGTCTAGGATTATTGTAATAATATTTTATCCAAAGTTCTAAGAAGTGTTCTTTGATTTGTAATATGATTATGTTTTTAATGCTTTTTTGCTTAAAATAAAACTTTTTTACTGAAAATGTTGTGCTTATTTAAGCGCTTATTCTTAATTTTTGTGCTTATAAATCCGCTCTCTAGGAATGAGACAGGGATGCCCACTCAGCCCAGCATTGTTTGCAGTTTATGGATGAAATGTTCAGAAAAGCACAGACAGGAGGGGTGGTAGTGGGCAAAGAGAAAGTGTGGTCGTTGGCGTACGCAGATGATTTGGTGAATGTGGCAAATAAAAGAAAAGAAATGAAAACAATGATTAAAAGTTTCGAGAAGTAGGTACGTACAAAAAAAGGAACTGGAAGTGAATGTGGAAAAAACAAAAATGGTAGTGTTTGGGAAGAAAGTAAGAAAGGAGAAGGAAAACTGGGAATGGAGAGGGAAGAATATTGAACAAATTCCAGTATCCAAGTACATCAAAGAGCAATAACTCAGATAGAGCACATATTCAAGAAATGGTCCGAAAAGCGGACAAAGTGATAGGAATAGTATGGGGAATAGGAGAGAGAAAATTTGGATATGATTATAAGAGAAGAATGATGATGTTTGATAGTTTGATCAAAAGTGTATTTATGTAAGGAGCTGAGATTTGGGGATGGAGGGAATATGACGAAATAGAGAGAGTGCAAGAAAAATACTTAAAAAAATGGACATGGGATTGGAAAAGTATACGCCGGGGTGTATAGTGAGAGAAGAAACAAAAAGGGAGAAAATGAGAGTGGAAGCGGGTAAAAGGCCGGTTGGATTTGAAGAGAAGTTTAGTGAGAGAGGTGATTGTAAAATAATGCAAGAATGTTGGAAAGAAATAAGAAAGGAAGGGAGAAAACATGTTTGGAACGAAAGAGACAAGTATTATGAAGGAAAGGAATATGCATGTGAAAAAATAGAGAGAATGAGAGAAATGGGAAGGATGAGTATGAAAAAGAACTGAGTGTAAGAGATAAGGATATAGATAAGCAAGAACGCAGATCGAGAATATCGTAGTCTAGATATAATGCAGAGGATAGAAAAATAGTAAAGGATGAAGTACCAAAGTACACAGAGAGAGAAGAATTGCTAAACGAGGATGGAAGTGGACTGGACTGGACGAAAGAAGTACGGAAGATAAGGGAACTAAGGCAAGGGGTGGGCAAGCAGAAAGAATAGAACGATTATTAAGACCCACCACTAACCCGAAAATGACCGGCATTCAGGCAAGACTTCTATCATTACGGGTACTAAGACCAAGTAATGATATGCATTGATTAGATTAACAAAGCAACTTTCGAGATTCTAGAATTACAGCATACAAATTAGTGTGCTATTATTCTCTAATCTCACCCCATCCCCAAAAGTCTAGCGTACCTACCGATCATTTATCCGCGCATCACTTGGAAAGTGACCTACACTACTCTGACCTACTGGTGCTAATCTAATCTGACTGACTGTTCGAGAAACTTACGAACAATATGACATGTTCCTAACAAAACAGCTTTTTGAATTTTGACAATTACACTGGTCAACAAAATTCAATTTTTTCTCTCTAACTTTGACATAATTGTAATGTTTTCGTTTAATTTGTCTCTGTGTTTGTAACAAAGGGCATAAACCTTAAAACTTAGCTCAATTAAAAAGAAAAATGCATATTTGATGTTAAAAACAAAAAATCAGGTAAAACAATTTAATTTTTGTATCTTTAATGGCAAAAAGTTATGTATTAACAAAACCACAACTATAATTAAGAAAAAACAACGATTGTAGTTTAAAAAACGAAAAAAACAAAAGAAACAGCTAAGACCGACGTTTTTTCGGTTGCCTCCTATAGATTTCATTGGTGATCTCTTGCTTGATGGTTCCGCAGTATTCTGCGAGCATTTAGGTGTTCCATCGATTTTGGTAACGTTTTTCTATCGACAAAATGCCCAGATG